ACCACTGGTAGGCTGGTTTGGATTCTGTTTTTGGATGTGAAGTTGCAGAGGATCTTGTTTTCCTTATGCGACGATTGCGGTATCCTGATGTGATGTTGTACCAGTTCGCTTGTATCAGTTTCATGTGTTAAAATACTAAGTATATTTTGATACTAGCCATGCACAGTGCGCACGAATACAATTAGCTTTGTAACTACGCACTATTAATAATTGATGTATACAGCAGTATTAGCACACAATGCAATGTCAAAAATCCTATCATACAGAAATGTTAACTAACAGGATTACAGAAAATGTGAAATATGGTTTACGACGCTCAAACTAAACGCAAATGCGATCCGCTGTTTCATTGGAATCTTCTTGCGCAACGATTTCACAGCCTTCAATGTGCGACACTACCGCAGCCCATGTGCAGCTCAATTCCCCCGAGCCATCATTTGGGTTATCGCACAATCTGCCGTCGTCAACAGATCACATGGAACTAATCACATTGCAAAATTTGGAGATGTACATAGCCGCACTGTCGAGAGGTCTGTGTATATATGTAACTTGCCTACGTCATTAAAAAATTGAGCAGCACCTCCAAGAGTTGACCCAATCAATTCAGGCGAAGTGATAGGCTACTTCTTCGTCCGAAAGCTTGTGTGAGGACTATTTCTCAAGACTGTACAAAGCAAACGAGGGACCGGCTTTGCCGGTCGCCTACAAACAACCGAGAGTCAGGTGGCATTAAGAATGACGTTGAAGAAACGAACCAATTCTTTTGAAACGCGATTGAGTTGGTCATGGAAGACCTGACTCTTTTCTCTTCTCAGCATCAGCAGCTAAGGAAGGTGGGTCTGTCACGCGCCTGCTGCATAAGTTACGCCGCTGCACTCTAGTTCATGCGTCATCGACTTGCATGTGGATGTGCAACGTGACAAGGGATGTGTTGGCGCCTTCGACTACTGTCTTGGGTGTAGATGCGGGTGGTGGCAAGAAAGGGGTAGGGAAGAGTTGACAAGGTGATGGCAGCGGGAGTGATAGGAAGGGCGCTAGAGGCTCGTATAAGGAGTTGTGATAAATGCTTGGGAGGGAATGCAAGAGTACGAACTTTAAATATACATGGCGAGAGCTTAGAGGGTGGGTCCCTCAGATTATGTATAATTAGGCGGCTTGACGACATTTAAAAATTGAGCGGCACCTTCCAATTGGCACAAGTCCAACTCCTTCCTGATAAAGTCTGACGAAGACACAGAAACACGACCAACGTCGGCCGCCATGGTCGCTAGGGCTAATATTCATTATAGCGTTCTCCACAAAAAGTGTAAAATTCTGAATCATGATCAAACCATACCCCACATGTTGCACTAGGCAGCCTCAAGCCTACGACACTTTGACTTCCATATTGACAGACGCAGAGCTCGTTAGCTTCGATTCGTCTGGATACTGTAGTGGATTGGTGACTGTCGACCGCAGTGGATACGTGGAAGCTGGCGTAATTGACCAGCGCTCGGTATTTCATTTCCTTTTGTGCACACGCCATAGACGTGCTACCGGCAGGTATGAATGTTTTCAACCTCCAAACGCCAACTCGAGCCACTCTCACAGGTTTCTACTACTTGATTCCTCGAATTTCCACTAATGTGCGTATGCATTGCGATTCAAACTTATCTGCCCGGATGCTGTGCTAATGAAAGGCGACAATTCAACAGTATTCGTCGTCTTCGCCCACTTGTATTGTTTGGCTTCATCCACCCTGTACTCCTGACAGTCTTCGTATAACTTAACTGTGGTATCATAGCATGCAGGCGACGTGGAAAATTGTCGAGCGACCTGAGATGTCCCCCCGGTCACCTGATCGATCACAGTCTGTCAACAATCTCGCTCTCAGCCTTGGAGACAGGTTCAGGCAGCGGGGCGTCCCTTCTGACCTCGATGAGCGCATCGAGCTACATCGGGCTGCACTACTCCTTCGTCCCCCTGGTCATTCTGATCGATCAAAATCTCTCAACAATCTCGCTGTCGGCCTTAAAGACAGATTCAGCCAGCGGGGCGTCCCGTCTGACCTTGATGAATCATTTAGCCTGTTCTTGCAACTCCCATACATATCTCATGCAGTCTCTCGTGCGGATCTTACTGCTGCCAAGTCATGGGCTACCGCTGCTGAAGAGACAAACCATAGTTCTGCATTGCTCGCATATCAAACTGCATCGAGAATCCTGGATCAGCATGTCACTCTTTTGTTGTCTTCGTCACGTCATTTCGATGTCGTGAGATGGCTACGGCGTCCCTTGCTGTGGACGCTTTCTCGTGCAGCGTTCGTCATGGTGCGCTGACAACTGCTGTGGAATTGCTGGAGCAAGGTCGTGCAGTGTTCTGGACTCAGTTGACACGCTTAAGCTCGCCGTTTGATGGACTTTCCCTTCCCGGTGACACCGGCGGAGCCTTGGCGGAAGAGTTCAAGCAGCTGAGCTTCGCCTCGTAGCGCATTTGATCAATCTACTGAAGATCAGTCTCCACAAATCCGTCAGGTGACCATCCAATGGAACGATGTTGTCTCCCACATCCGTATGCTCCCTGACTTATCTCGATTTCTCCTGCCTCCCCTGTTCTCAGACCTACAGAAGGCCGCTGAAGAAGGGCCCGTCATAATCGTCAATGCTAGCCAGTACAGCTGCGACGCCTTGATTGTCCTAAGTAACCAAAATCCTGTCCACCTTCCGACCGATGTCACGCAGGCTGAAGTCTTCCGAATTGTCCTCTGACTTTCAGTCCGTCGCAGAGCAATTTGGTTCTTCCGATCATCAGAACAAGCTTGTGGGCATCCTCCGCAAGCTTTGGTATGATATCGTTGACCCCGTAGTCCAAGCCCTCAGGAAGTCAAATGTTTGCCCTGGCTCGCGTAATCTGGTGGTGTCCCACTGCTGAATTTACTTTGCTTCCTCTACATGCAGCAGGACCCTATGAGAGGGAGAGAGATAACTTGTCAGATATCTACATCTCCTCTTATACCTCCACTTTGGCAACGCTCGTTCGTGCGAGACAGCGTATCTCTCAATATGCATCTACTCAATATTTTGTTGCAATTGGTCAAGGAAACCCGGACAGAGGGAAGGAACTGCGATGCGTCGCTCCTGAATTAGCCGCCATAGCTCAGCGTCTCGTGCCTATCGTGCCGTCCTTCACATCGCTCGAGGACAGCGATGCAACAGTGCAGGGTGTCCTCGATGCACTAAACCATAACCAGTGGCTTCACCTAGCCTGCCACGGAATGCCGAATCGACAACGACCATTTGAATCTTCCTTCGCAATGCGTGATGGGCCGTTGATGATAAAGGACATCATCCGATCGAACTGGCAGAACCCGGAGTTTGCATTCTTATCGGCTTGCCACACTACCGTGGGCGACGAGAAGAGTCCCGACGAGTCGATCCATCTCGCCGCGGCGATGCAGTTCTCCGGATTTCGCAGTGTGATTGGATCTATGTGGTCTGTTGATGACGAGGCTGCACGGCAGGTTGTGTCTGCTTTTTACGACAAGTTGATCGATGATTCAGGGAGATTAGATTGCACGCGGGCTGCAGTGGCGTTGCACAAGGCTGTGAGGAAATTACGGCGCAATAATATTCCACTGGAACAGCAGATCGTATTTGTTCACATAGGTGTCTAGTTTGAGGCTCGAATCGCTATTTTATTGCATTTTTTCGTGATCCTGATCTCTTTCATTCCCCCATTGTCCCAACTATATCTCAGTTATTTATGTAAATCATGTCTTCACGATAATTCTAATGTTACATTCCCAGTTGTTGTATCCTAATCATGCCCTATGGTACAAGCTCGCTGCCTGCATTTTTTTCTTACAAGGACACCCCTCTGGTTGGCTTTATAGTAGCAAGCCAGGAAATACAACATTGGCAGTCTTGTCCCTTGTTTATCTCCGCAAAAAGACAGCGTGTCTCTTCACGTTCTCACCCTCGACAACGCCGTATACAATTGACCGTGAGCAAATGGATCCGTCCGCAGGTCCAAGACGGTCCGTGCTAGTGTCAATCCCTGATAGCCGTTGGATATAGCTGCGTACGCGGCTCGCAGAGGAAATTGTCTGTCCACAACGAACGGTTTGGATGGAACGAAAGGTTGATGCATGGGATGCAGTGGCTTTCAAATGTATTGAGATATTGGACTTCCACAAATTGCTGATGCAGTACAGTTGCCCGCGCTTGCGCGTTTCTCACTAATTCTTTTTCTGCTGAGATTTCGTCGAATGGCGCAAATGCAGTTCTGTTTTCGATCCAGGCAACGAGGAGGTACTCCAGGATGAGTCAACATCGTGATGTAGTCAGGAGTGTCGACAGAGAAGATAGGCATGAAATCCCTCGATGATGAGCTGGAGTTTTACGAGCTTGTCGAATTGGATGCAAAAGGTGAAGAGGATGAGCAACTTGAAAGTTTCGATGATATGATGTGCAGTACGGTGTAATCCGCTTCGATCCAATCAGCGCAGCGTCCATCTGTCGCGTGGTAAAAGCCATAGCCATGGACATGACATTGCCAACTGCCATGTCTTCTTTCCTGGCCAGCCAATGGCCCACCACTGGCATTTCAAATACTGTTTCACAGCCTTGTGCGACACTACCACAGCCCATGTGCAGTTCAATTCCCCCGAGTCATCATTTGAGTTGTCGCACAATCTGCTGTCGTCAACAGGTCATATGGAATCAAACACATTGCGAAATTTGGAGGATTGCGTAGCCGTAGCGAGATGGATCAACTCACTGGAATTCTTCTCACTGCCCACGATAATGTGGCATGCGAATAAGAATACAAAATCAAGATTCTGCCAGTGAGATCAGATGATGTCCACGATTATCCAAGGCGCACCGCGCATCGCAAATACTCAAATGGTTGTTGTCGATTCGACATTCTGTGACAGGCCAGGTGAAGCCGTTGATTCCGTAATGGATCAAATGCTCCCTAGACTGTTGTACATGCAGATAGGTGAGACGGCATCATCTCATTGCATAATCAGTCATCAGATTTGCGGGGACTGGTCTGATCGAAAACGTCAGTACGAAGGCGAAGCTTAGCTGCTCGAACTCTTCCGCTAAGGCAGCGTCAGTGCCACGCGAGACGAGACGAGAAGTTTATCGTGTGGTATGCAGAAACGTGCCAACCGGGTCCAGAATACCGTACGGCATTGCTTCGCCAGTTATACAGGAATGGTCAAGGCGCCGCAATAACCACTGCATGAGAAAGCATTCGTAGCCAGGCAAGAAAATGGCTTCCCTGAGGGGGTCGAAATGGCGTGAGGAAGACGACAAAAGAGTGACATGCTGATGTAGAAATTTCGATGCGGCCTGGCGGGCAAGCAATAGTGTCATGGTTCATCTCCTCAGCAGAGGAGACCGACTAAGATCATGATGAGAGGATACGTGAGATAGGCGGGGAAGTTTCGGACATGGCGTAAATGCTTCACCCATGTCAGACGGGATGCCCCGTTGCTCGAATCAGTCTCGAAGGGTGCTGGCAAGATTGTGGAGAAACACGATTGGATCAAAACGACCAGGAGGGACAGAGGCATAGTGCAGCCTAGCGAAGTTTGATGGCCCCCTCGTGATCAGACAGGATGCCCTACTGCTGGAATCTGAGTACCAGATAAGGTTGATCAATGAGCACGTACTTGAAATTATGAGCAGTGAAGCAGTGAAAGCCTGTGAGAAAATGACGCGACAAGTTCTGAGAAAAACCTTTGATAAAGCTACTGTAATTTCAAAGGGCGCCACGATGTCACAACGGAGCTGAGTGCTGACAACTAGACTGGTGACCAGCCCGTCTATAGACGAGCTAGTTATAACCGAACTAGTCTCCAGTCTAGCTCACAACAAAAATGGAAGGGATGCTGAAGCGAAAACAAGATTGTTTCATGCGTCTGTTGCTGAAAACTGTATATAAGGTGTTTGTGCCGACGCTTACTTTATTTTCACATACAATGTCTTTGAGACTCCTGCAATCAATTTCAACGAGCAACGGAGGGTTGTCTATGTCAAGGTTCTCCCTAGCCGCGCAAGAGACTTCTCAGGACGTGCACCAGCATATCAGCACCGATGCCACCGCATTTGCACCCAGCGCGTTACCAATCCTCGGGTGTGCGCCCCTTGTGGTCAACATACAGACATGTTCATCGCGGAACTTGGACACACTCGCCTCGATCTTATATTATCCGAGATCATCGAACCCTGTTGGGATCGTTGTTCCGTTGCAAACGTTCGTTCGTCAATTCCGCGTGGCCTCCGTATGCTGCGAGCATTGATAGAATGTTTGCTAGACGATTACGTCGTGCGTCGTTTGGAAAAAAACTGTGAATTCCTTGTGCACAGTGTCGAAGATTAATCGCCTGCGAGAGAGCATCAGGTCTGTTACAACAAAGTTTCACCTTTGATATGCAGTAAATGCACATTGGATCTCAATGAGAATAGCAGCATATCAAAGGACACAAGTGATAGTAGCGATGAACTCGAGTTACTTGATTATGTAGGATACTGGTGCATGATGCATCCGAGTTGACGACAAGTTGCTGAGTCAATTTATATAAGTAAGTGAAGTCCGAATTGCTTACATACGCTTTGAAGCTGCCATCCGAACTCGAACATACCCTTGATCCATTTTCGACTGGGCATGAGTGATCAGGTCGCAGCAGCAAAAGCCTCAGAGCAGGCGGCCTCCAGGTTTGTCTTCATAAGATAGCACAGATGAAAATATCACTCACTCGTCGTATCCCGGAAACCTATTGGTGATGTCATCAAAGGGCGGCGCTCATGAAACTCCTCTTTTTCGCTGCAACTCTTGCCATCCTACCAATCTCATCGTACTTCTTCTCTGAAAAATATGTTTGGTCTGGTACGTATACTACAGGATGCAATCACGAGTTTGTACTGATGTTTTCTTCAAGGCAACTCCAACTATGCTGCGATCACCGCCATATGTGCGGCGAACATAGTCCTCATTGCGTACATCGTCGTTTCTTTGATGGAAGACAAGCAATCGTTCAAGGAAGCGGAGGAGAAGAAACTGTCAGAAACCAAGAAGGAGCGATAAATTGGGTCATTACTCACTATGTATGTCGTTGTCGTCTAGGGACTTTCAATGCATACATTCTTTCTGTTCACGTCCGCTTTGTGCAGCGGGATTCAGTCAGAATAATCGCCGAGGCCCAGACTACGGCTTGTTAAAAGATACTCATTATTAAAAGTTTATCAGAAATGTCTGCTTCAAAGTGATCAAACAAATATTTCGGAGCAGTGCACTCCTGATCCAACTTGGTATACGTCATTCAAATCACGATCAACGTTCATTACTAAATTGACATTCGTCTGCAGGGAAGACAAACAGTTTAACATAAGAATTTTCCTCCATCTACCCATAGAACTCCTCCGGCCATTGAAATATCAAAGTGTCACTGGGATTCAATAACAATGTCGTCCTAGTACATCGTATACGTGGTTACTTCTTTCATTACATTTAGAAGCACTCTGTTGCGGGGGTAATTGAGAACAAGTAGAATCATGAGATGAGAGACACGTACTGCGATGAACGATACCAGGACCTGACTCGTCGTATTCCTGCTTTGAACACCACAAGTTCTGGAAAGTGGACAACGAAGCCAAGATAGAGCCACCGATCCAGACGGAGTATTTCCGCTCAGGAGGAGCGACGATCTTGACCTATAAGCGGCGACGAATGAGAATAACGACTGTACACAAAATGTTGACACGAACCTTCATGCTCGAAGGCGAGAGTGACGTCAACTCCTTCTGCATACGGTCGGCAATACCAGGGAACATAGTAGTACCACCCGACAGCACAACGTTACCATACAAGTCGCGACGGATATCAAGATCGCACTTGAAGATCGAGTTGTACCTAGGACGGGGGTAAATCACACTACGTTTCTTGTAAATGAGTTCTTACGTAGTCTCATGGATACCAGCAGCTTCGAGACCAAGGAATGCAGGCTGGAAGAGAGC